CCCCAAAACCCCAAAACCCCAAAACCCCAAAACCCCATATAAATAAAAAGGATTGATTCATGATAATTATTATGAACTCTAACGTCAATATCAAGATTTCTAAGGATAGTCTATCCCAAGAGTGTGATGCTCTCTCTTCAAGTGACTTTGACGAATGCAGTCCCTCTGTGCAGTCTGTCAGGACTTGAGAAGAGTTTGACAACATCCTGAGCTATAATAAAGGAAAGATAGATGACAAAAAGAGATTTTTAATAACCCGAGGAGCTCATAGTTTCACCAAAAAGTTCTCCCCTGTCTCAGAATCAACCAAGAAGAGTATTAATTGATCCGAATTCAATACTAAGAAGATCGAGTTTGGCCAAAGAACTTGCAGAATCTTTTCAAATGAGCTTGAAGATTACAGTTGTTCAAGTACTACTTCCAAAAAGAAGAGAGCAGAACTCAGAAAGCTTCCTTCAGAAGTGATTTTGGAAGATCTGTTGAAAGGTGAATAATGAAGGAATCAAACTAATTAATTTTGATGAATAATATTTTAACATAATTTCTTACAACCCAAACTTATAAATTTTTGCTTTTTGAGGTTGACCTACTCGTAGATCTGGTTGATAACTCATAAGAATAGAGTGTCTACCCTCTAATTAACCTCTCTTTGGCATTGTCCACACCAAGAGGGTTCTAAAAGTTAGAGCTGATGGCTAAATCATGTTTAATAATTTAATATTTAAGGTTTACTAGTTTTCACCAGAAACTGTATAATAATCAATTCTGTTGTCTAAAGATTAATAATAGAGGCGTGGCAGACAGACAAAATCTTTTCCTTGGTATGATGCATTTGTCCATTTGTAGAACTTAATAAAAAATTAGGGAGGAGTTTCGAGAGTGTTAGGAAGAATTTATTATCCTGTAGTTTGTCAAAGGAATCTCTAACAAACTCGCAACTCTGCTCTAAATATTGAGGCAATAGACTTCTCTCTGATATAATTATTACCTTCCAGAAATATAACTTCAGAGAATTTTACTATTTTAGAGTCCTTGTGAGGTCTTTACTCTCTATGCAGTATTGCCAATTTTAGACATTTATTTTAATCAGAAAGAGAGTAGAAGCATTTTACTAGTTCTCATCAATAATTTCCGATAGAATAATACTGGAGCACCGATTTTTAATGCTGGGAACATCACTTGTAAAATTTTCTTCACCGTTTCTCCATTTTTATGAGAAATAGGAAATACCTAAATTGTCTCAGTATTTTTATGACTATTTTTAATAATTCTTCCTGGTTACTTCCCTGATATTATTTTACAGCCAAGAGTTTTAGGTAAGCTCAGACTAGCTCTTCTCTTTGATAATTTCTATAGAGTTATTGAGAGAGCCAATATCTTTATATAAAACAATCTGACTGCTATTTTATAGCATATATTAAGAAAAGAGTGAGATTCTCTAAAGTGAATTTCCAATGTTTGTAAACTTGCTCATGCCCTAAACATATTTATTATCAGCCAAACTTTTCTGAACTTTTCATTGAGTGAAAGAGGTGCAGGCAATTTTATTAAAACCTAGGGACTATTCTTCTCGACTACAAATATTGAGAAAGACCAATAGTGCAAGGATTATATTTCCTTAATCTCTCCTTCACGAATCTAAAATATCACCTTTAGAAAATTACTTGTTTCAAGGAATCATGAAAATACTGAAAAATAGGACTTAGAAGTTTACTAATTCAGTTCTGGATCAGTCTTAGCTAGACCATGAAAGCTTACCTCGTTGATTCCTTTTAATGACTAACTATACCACCTCTACATTCCCATATTTTCCAACCAAAATAATAGGAATTTAAAAGCTTCCTGTACCTCCTACTTTTTAGTTAATATTTATGGTACTCTCCACTAGTACTGACCTGTCATGTGTCTGTTAATAATTTAATTTACTCTCTATTTGAATAACTGAAAGAGAAAGAAGAAGGCTCTATTAGAAATTTTATTTGGATAAGGGGTACGATAGTTCAAAGAAAGTTAATTAGATTTCAAACCCTTGATTAAAATATTGGTCGCTCATCCAGAAAAATACAGTAATTTAGAAAACTCTTATTATGCGATCCCATAATTTTCATGCTCTTATAGCAAAATAATTTAATTATGAGAGCTAGAGCTTCTTGTGATTAACTTCTGAGAAGGCTTGGGAGAATAAAGCTGTGTAAAATTTGTCTAATTTCATAAACTTTAGACTATATTAACCATATCACTCTACTCTTATTGATTCTTTGTATAATATTTAAAATGATGGCTTTGTCTTTAAACTCAGTATCTCTGTAATTCTAGGTTTACCCTTAAAACATTTTAAACTTCAAGTTTAAGAAGTCAAGACCAATAATGCTATTATTGACTCAGTTTAAAACTCTAGGCTAAGTCTGGATGATTAATATTTTTCATACATGCCTAATTTGTTTTTATAGTAAGCTCATTATTTACACTGTTCATGCATAAGGCTTCTTAATGCAGTAGGATGGTTATTTTAATGCTGATGGGAAATAAAGACTATATAAAAACGACTACTAATTCTGCAAATTATTACACATTGTGCTCTGAATACCTTCTCTTCAGTCTTGCTGTAACACATGATCCTTTAAGATTACATAATAAATCTAAATTTTATTTATCGACAGCACTCTTAATATTTTAACCATATTTAAACCCTCTTCTATAAATAAACTTCTCTAATTTCAATCAGATCCATGAATCACGGGGTTTTGGGGTTTTGGGGTTTTGGGG